CACACACACATCTAACCCTATTTAGGCCACGATACAAGGTCCATTAGAATTTAGGTCAGATGTGGCCTATATTATAAGCTAACTCCTCATCTAACGTTATTTAGACCACAAAATAGTATATAGAAAGAAAAACAAACTTTTCACACCCATCTTCCATCACAGCAGGACGTGTGTCTAGAATCAATTTAAGATCCTTTTCTGTATCTAAATATTGATACGAAACGTTGTTGCACAATTGCCCACACATGTTTCAGTGGGGGATTTTCATCAAAATTCAGTATTGTCGAAATCCTCGACATGTAAAGAAAGGGAAATCTGTGGCTTCTTTTCTTCTTCACATAACATTCTGATTAACAGAAAAAAACAGGAAAAAGAGAAAACTGGGTTTGATTTGTGATATGTGGAAGAAAGGTCACTAAAGAGAGAAAGAGGAAATTTAAAGGAGAGAGACAGAGGGGGAGAGGATGTGTTTGAGCGGGACGAGAGGTGAGTGGGAGAAGAGAACGAAAGGGATTAAGGAAATAGTGAAGAAAGAGAGAGAAAGAGAGAAAAAGAGAGAGAAAGAGATGGAGAAAGAGAGAGTAAGAGAGAAGCAGAAACGATCGTGTCTCTTCGGCGGTCCCTTCGAAATATAAAAGTTTGATCAAAATTTTTACAGGAGCCCACACACGCATACAAAACTTGACGACTCGTCAAAAAATATCAAACGGGTTTGATCCGTCAAAAATGTTGATTCAAATCTTTTTTGACATCAAAACGCACAACACACAGTCAAATTTTGCATCAAATTAATTTAGATGCAAAATTTTGACGCTTTTTTTAACGTGTATGGGCCCCTTAAGAATCAGCTGTTAAAAACCATTGCTGTCGGTACATGTATCAATTACTGAATTTATTATATTAATAAATGTGAGGCGTAATGGTGAAATCAGGCGCTCGTCAAAATAATAAAATCAAAGAAAGAAAAAGGCATTTTTTCCCATTAGTTTGGCAATTTTTATTGAAATTTTTAAGGGGCTAAACACCTTTTATGTTCATATGAAAGTACATTTCCATATACATTTTTACTGAAAAACCGTGTTTAAAGGCACAAAATAAGTAAATTACCTAACTTTGGCGGCCATTTTCTAGCTAATTTTCCTTCTGAAACCAGGGGACCCCCACCTCCTTCAACCACAAATATCCCGACTTTTATACAAGATAAATGTATATTTTTTTCTTTGAAGGCAAGACAAATGAACAACCTTTAAAATGACACCAATAGGGGGCTCTCGTGGCCTAGAGGTTAAGGTGTTGGCCTCTCATTCAAAGGT